ATAAGATCAGCCGGGCGTTTCATCGTGATCATGTGGATGAGCAGTGAGCTTGGCAATGCATTCCGAAGTGAATGTTGCTTTTGGGTCTAAGCCTCAAGCCCTTCGGAAGCATTAGAAATTTCATGAATCAGTATCCGTGATGGAGAAACACGACAAATCCCGACCTGTGTTGATAAGCAACATCGCCTGACTATGAGCCTCAAGAAGGACTGCAAAAATTGGTGTTCAATAACATCTAGTGAAGTGAAAGTAGCAGCTACATCAAGTAATAGTCAAAGACTGTTCCGACTGGTACGCAATACGGTAAGTCGGCTAACTCGTTAGTGAAACGGTCTGCGACAAAAGTGGGCAATCTATTCACTGGGTTGAATACTTCAGTGAACAGTACTGCTGGCCTGGTACTAGGCAGATTACCTCATCTGTAACTGAAGCTCCGTGGACTGTGTTGTGCGATCCTCCGGCAGAAGCAGAAGCTTTATGTTGCATTCAAGCTCTAAAACGAGGAAAAGAAGCAGAAATGGACGGGCTCCCTCTCACTTTTCAAGATAGGGGTTTTACCTCGTAAGCTCTGTTACTAATTTAATGCATATCATTTGGACGCAAGAGCACATTCCTTCACCTTCCGCATTTTCAAGAAGGGATCTTGCAACTACTGAGAAAACCACCGCGGGATAATTTTGATTCCGATCGTCACTACAGCGGCGACCTGATCTTGAGTGTATTGCTCAAATTTGTGCGTTGCGTCAAATTCTTGAACTGTATCAGCCACCATCGACCAAAGATTGCATGCAGTGCACCTTCGCCCGAAAGGAGCCTTCGACTCAGTTGGCCGCGAAGCTCTAATGGGTTCCCTTCGAAACAATTCCCCAGAAGTCGGGTAACGCGCTCAGGTCATTGTATGCACTTACCTCTGGTCGGGTGAGGGTTTATATCCAACTAAGTGGGCCGCTCNNNNGCAGCGTTCGTCAAGTTTGCCCTATTTCGCCTTTCCTGATCAATTTGTCGTTGACGAAGTAGTGGAGAAAGCTCTAATTGGTCTCCCCAATGTAGGTATTAAATGGCCAGCTGGAGAAAAGCTGTGATTTAGGGTACGCAGGACAAACACCTTTGGCGTAGACGGGACGTTTCACTGAAGTTGAAACATCGTGTATATTGTGCTACCGTTCGTTCAGTTCTCTTTATGGTTGAGACCTCGAATTTGCGAGTAGAAGATATACATCCACTAGAAGTTTTCAACTATCAGTGTTTACGTAGTTTAGCTCATGTGGGAAGGAGCGAACGGGTTAGTTATGTAAAGGGAGTTTATCGTGAATAATCTTGCTAGCTCATCGAATTCAAATTAGTGAGCTTCATTGACTAGAGTACGTATCACGTATGCCCAACTGTCGTCTGCCGCACCGCGGTTTATTCGCTTTAGCCTCCTCGGGCTGGAGGAAACTCTGTGGAGACGAGGCATAAATAAATGCACAGAGCTGTGAGGTTGGGTAGGTGTCTTGCGCCTTCTTGGTTGGGGTCCGAAAGATTGCGACTGGTTGGGTGGAGACATTGAAGGATATGGCAGCGATCCGAAAGTAGTGGCGTTCTTGTTATAATTTCATCAGATCAGAAAGCTGGAAACGGTACGTATGTGTACTCTGTGTTGATTATAAAGGTTCGCTTGCTTCCCTCCAAAATATTTCCAATCCTGTTTCACATTATCACTAACGTTGTATGCATTAGCAGTTTGGCAGCGATCAGTGAAGTTTGCTTCACAGTATTTCGCTGTCCGATCATGATGATGATGATGATTCCTGTTGCGTATCGGAGACAAATTCGGGATCCTTGCAGTATAATCCATTTGAATTCACCGGGTCTATCCTTCAGATGTTTTCTTCGCACATCAGAGGCCGATGAAGTCCGCTCTGTCGGTCAGCTTGATGAATGAGTCGTACTGAAAGATGAAGCGGAAGTCTTAACTTGGATATTCGTCAATAGTCTGTGGGCAATGAATCTCCAGGGTTCAGTTAGTGTTCGGGAGGGTGGCAACACCAAAAGGTGTTAGTTGATCATTTCTGCTCTAACCAACTGCAGCCTCAATACTCACAAAAGGACGAATTTTACGACAAACTCATCCAACTTAGCCACAGCTCTAATATTACTGTGCTAGGAATCAATCAGTCGACTATTCGGTAATGATTCGGCGGAGAATTGGTTGGCACATCTAATTCACATCAGTAGGCTTCATAAGTTAGAACATCTATTGCACATCGCGTCTAACTAAATGTGCTTGGAAAGTGATTTTGATATATTAGTATCACCGTGCAGGACACTCTGTCATCTCATCTAGTATCTTATGATTGATTGGTCTGACGTCAAGTTCCCCAAAGGGAATTCTAATTGTGGTTTACGTATCTCAGCCCTCTGGTCAGTGTTTTCATAACCTCATGCTAGATCATAATGCAATCACCTTTGACCTTCCAAGCATTTTCTCTCTGAACCGGTGTCTCAGGCTAAGAAAACCTTTGTGCTAACGTACGTAGCCCAATTCCCACCACTCTGTAGTATGTGGGAAGCAAACACTTGTATCAACGCACAATCACATTTACCTAATACGGCGCTTAACCTCGGCATTACTTTCGTGTACATCCCACCAGCCTCGTACAATG